ACAGATGAGATGGGGCGACCCTTGGCAAATCGTCATTCGACCCCCGAGGGGTTACGGCCCACAGGTTGAGAACCCTGTTGTAAACAAACACAATCAACTGGCCCTTTCATGACAGGGACTGTTTCATATTCCTGTGGGCTTAAGAATGTGCACCACAAAAAGCCACGGCGTCTCAGTGATTGGTGGCCAATAGGAGTGCCGCGTGTAGAAATAAATCTGTCGGGAAGTAGAATTACCCACCTTAGAGATAGTAGACCCCCATGGCCTGTAAAAGCTATTAAAGCGTCGGTGATGGACAACTTTGGGTATTTGGTTTTTACCCTGTTTCACGGGAGCGCACAATTGTAAAGCTTGACATGTTTGGTATCTATTTATTCAACACAAGCTCTTATATTTTACCAAGAAATGGGTATTATATTGTGCCTGTGTTCACAAAAATACACTTGAGTGTATTTTTTTTCTGAAAATCTGCGCTTGATAAACAGTTGCGCTAATATCGTGCGACATAAAACATTGCAACTGCCGCCATTTTAATTTACACTTTGCTTTTCATAAATATATAGTGTTATGGGGGTTTTATGTACTCTACAAGCCTAGAATTTGCATTTTAACAAGTGTGCAAAAAAAAAAAAGAAGTTCTGGCAGGTAAAGGGTTAATGGTGATGTCATTAATCTGAGTATTCTGATTGCGGAATAGTGCTGTGATGTTAAAAACAAATAAAAACCTGTGAAACACAAGCAGAATTATAATTATTAATACAGACATGGGTATAGTGTCAGCAACCATCAGAGGGCTTTGAACTTGGGAACCCACTATTGGAAGGCAGAAGCCCTAACCACTATACTACCATACTAGTCTATGGGGTCAGAATGAGATGTTGTGACAGGTGTACACACCAAGCATTGTACTAGTGCAGGGGTAGGTAATATCAGCACTCCCCCCATGCAGAAACTTCAATTGCCATCATGCGTCCGCCTGGAAATATATAGTTTTGTTGGCTTGAAACAATTCCCAGGCCTAAAATGTGGCTTTGAATATATGTGCAAAAAAACAAAAAAGAATGGCTGTGGCAGCAAAAGGGGTAATGATAATGATCAAAAGAAAAGAGAACATTGGGAAAGAGGCTTGTGGCAGCTATAACCCCCCGTCCAGGGGCCTAGTATGATATGATCTCCTGAGGCTATTGATATTTGGAATCTTTAGACCTTGATCATCAATCCACATCCACTAGGGTAACCTCAGAAAGGCTGGTTGCCAACCAGAGCCTCACCTCTCCCTATGTTCCACAGCCACCTAGTATCCCTCATCTGTATTTATAACACTCAGACTACAGACATTTCCCAGTAATGGAGAGAGAAATAATTGACAGCATTAAAAATCATGATTATTAGCTGCTATATCACTTTCATATCCCACTGACCACTAAAAATCGTCCAACAAACTGAAAAATTAAGGCTATATCAACAGTGAGACGATGCAGCACATTACCCAGAATTCCGTTCCATATTTATTATTCAAATTTTGTTTGTGAGTGATAGTTCAGGCAGCCAATGGCAAGCATGGCTGAGAGCTGGGAAAGACAGTTGACAACTCCAGTGGCAGTTGGCCTACCCCGATTGTACATGGAGCAACCAGGGGAAGGTTATGTTTGTCCCTATGAAGGCACTGGTGTGCACTCTGCTGCCCTCCATTGTTGTTTAGAGCAGGACAGGGGGAGGAGACCCTGCAACCCCCCCCCCATGGCAATCTCCTGCAGGAAGGGACAGAGGAAGAAGAATGGGATAGCAGATAGTTTCCAGTGACTGACAGCCGGCGGGGGTGATAAGAAATCTCCCAATGGGGACACTAGTTCTGGTGATCCTGCTGAACACAATGGAATGGATTTCCCTCACTTTAGAGGGGTTTTGTCTCACTTCCTGTAGTTGCTATGGGATAGGAAGTGAAGGGAAATCTCTCCGATAGGCCACGATTGGTTTGGAAAAAAAAAACTGACTGGGATATAACCTACCAGTCAGTACTCTATCTAAAACAAAAAAACATTTTGTTTTGTACAATAAGTAGAGATATGCCTCTTGTAGGAACATGCCTATTTTATATGAATGGCCCACCCCTAATTATAATACATTCTCCACCTACAACAGCTTGCTGGGCGCACACCATTGTTGGCAACTATGCCTACTGGCCCACCACTGACGCCATTTATTTCAATGGAAGCCCCTCGTATGGTACAAATTGGCTCTCCACTGAAGTCTATGGGTCCCATGCACAGAGGGGGGCACAGACCAACACTTGTCAGGACAAAGAGAGCACCAGAGAGCATTTTAGAACATATTTTATATCAGAAATACACTGCCTGGGGGGGGTTTGTTATAGAATAAACCGGTTACAGATATCCATAGAAGTACTATACTTCTATAATAGAGCTGCCCCGCAGTGGATTGTTTTTGTGTACAAACTTGGGTCAATTAAGATCTATATGTATACGTAGAGATGTGTTCTGAGTTATAGGCATGTTTATTGTCATGCAGCAGCGTGTTTCCTGTGTGCGTTCTTTTATAATTAGTATTTGGAGTGGATAGTTAACAGCCATTGGCCAAGACTTATTAACACCTGTTGCCAGCCCATCAAAACATGTTACATGCGTTGTGGTGTGTTGTCATTGGCATTGTCTATGGCCTTCCAATGCAGAAAAAAAGATATGTCGTATTTATAAAAACACGTAGCGATGAGATGGCAACAGGCACGGGGTAATTCATAAAAACGGGAGCAGACAAAACCTGAAGCAGTTGTACATGGCAACCAATCAGTTTCTCTGTTCTATTTTCAAAGATTAACTTAACAAATTGAGGAGCGAAGCTAATTGGTTCGCTATGGGCAACTGCTCCAGATTCGATGAATTCCCTCCACTATCGTTGATATGGGGAACCACGACATATTGGAAATGCAACAGTGTAAATGGGTCCTGTGTGTGACTTATTTGCCTGAAATGACTTATAACAAGTTATAGTGGTGAAGCTTTTACTGACATGACTATGAAGGAGGATATCACAGCACTAACTAACTCCACACACGTCTCTGACATCATCTACTCTGTAAACCTCCCGACACCAGCGAGACTCGACGGATTACAGAGCGCCGCTGCCCGTCCTCCCTCTCGCTATTGTATCCTACTTCCGGCACTGCACAGTACATGTGTTGGATGGGACTGGTAAGTAATGTGTATTTACATTGGGGAGAATCACAGGTTGTAGATTTCAGTCAGCACACAGGGACTTGTAGAACAGCTTGGTGGGGGAAAGCAGATAAGGAATGACGTCCGAGGAGCGGCCAGACCTAAGCAACCTGCAAATGGCTTATCATGTCGGGGCTTATTGATACTCAGCAGCTATAGGGACTCTCGGTTCTCATATGTATGGGTGCAGGCACCTTTACTACTTATGCAGTATGAGTTAAAGATTCTGTGCTGAGTGTACTTAGGCACTATACCTTCTGTATGATCTCTGCTGCTATAGCCACTGCAAGAGCCCCTAAAATGTCTGTGTGGGCACTTTACCTTCCTTGTGACCCCCTACTGGCAGAGTTCCCTGGAATTCATGTGTAGGGACTGCTCCTTCCTTGTGACCTCCTTACCGCCAGAGCCCCCTGGAATTCCTGTGTGGTTACTATACCTTCCTTGTGGTGTCCTACTGCCAGAGCCCCCTGGAATTCCTGTGTGGTTACTATACCTTCCTTGTGGTGTCCTACTGCCAGAGCCCCCTGGAATTCCTGTGTGGTTACTATACCTTCCTTGTGGTGTCCTACTGCCAGAGCCCCCTGGAATTCCTGTGTAGGTACTGTTCCTTCATTGTGACCCCCCTGAAATTACTGTGTGGTTACTATACCTTCTTTGTGACCCCCTATAGTCAGAGCCCCAAAAATTAATGGTTAGGCACCCTAATACCTTTCTTGTAATCTGGATTCCTAGCTCTGTGCTGCTGGATCCATCACCAGAGGCCCTTGTATTTTTTTGGGTAGGTACCATACACTCCATTGTATGCCTTGCTGCTTGATCCATTGCCAAAGTTCCTGTAATTTCGGTGTAGGCTCTGTGCCTTCCTGGAGTTCCCCTACTACCAGAGCCCCCCTGAAATTCCTCTGTGGGTACCATATGAATCCAAGACAAATGGCCAAGTGCACATGAAATACAAACATATTGGAGCTGTTTTACCTGCCAGAGGATTTGGTGTTCATTTTAATGGGTTGCCTACTACATGTATATCACGACAAGTGCATGACCCTTTTTAAAAAAAATCACATCACAGTACAATGCATGGTAACAAGTTACCATGTATTGTAGTGTGAGATAATGCACGTGTGATGGGGTGCCATTACAGGAGAACTATGGGGAGAGTGAAATGCACTCATCCCAATAGTTAGAGCTGACGTGTGGCAATGCAGGTGTCACACATCGGCTGTATAGACTGAGAACTGAGCGATCACAGACCGCTCATTTCATGATTTTCTCCCTGTAGAGAACAGTGACTGTCAGTCATCGCTCCCTGCAGGGATCCCCCCCACCCCCTTCCTTCAGCGCTGACTGGAGGGACAGACAGGAGAAAGGGCGGGCACAGCTGGCTCTAGAGAGGCAGTGCCAACTTTCAAGCAGTGGGGTAGATTGCGATATTATTGACAGAATCTTTCCCGGCTGCAACACGACCCTGCGCTGTCAGCATATAGCAGGCAGTAGTCCGCTATGTGCTGAGTTTCGGGTCACAGGAGTACATTAGTAAATTCCCTCCTGTGACCCAAAGGAAAACTAAAGCCAAAAAATGATTGGCCATAGTTCTCTTTTAAGAAACAATAGCAGCGCAGTGACCAAATATTGTCACGTACGATGCAGAAACCCACATTCCTGCGCTGCACGGATGTGAATGGGGCCTGATGTTGCTTTAGGATGCAAATTATTCTTCAAGAAATGCAGTGAACATATTTCTTTTCATTTCTCCTCATTTTCTTTCCTAGTAAACAATGGCCAAAACCAGGGGAAAAGGACAGAAACAAAACAATGTATTTCATGTTGCAAACAGTAAAAGTGTGAAAGCCAAAAACAAAGCCAAAGCAGTCAAATCCTCACTGAAGAAGGTAGGTGCTTTGTATTCTTGTATAAAGACTATTACTGGTATGATGCAGCAAATCTTTATACGCTTTCATTTTTCATACTCAGATCACTGTTTATAACAAAGACAAAGTGAGCAAAGTAAACAAAGCTTTCACAGAACTGCACAAAGATGTGGCACAGTTGAAAAAGACGACTGCATCAAAACCAAAGCCAAGCCAGGTAATAAAAGTATGTTTTATGTTGGATTGAATCACACAGGAAATGTGTGGACACCCACTAGGTTCATGCAGCTAGTTATGAATAGAGTGTCTACATACCATTAAATAACGATCATCCTATGAAACATTGTCATTTGGGTACCTACAACTCCTTGTGTATGGAATGGTTATGCTCATTATACTGTACTCATGAAGGTCTCTTGTACAAGTATGTGGCCCAGTGTGATGCCAGTACTGGACAGACTTTACAGTGGGTTAAATAATCTGTTATCCAAGCAACACCATTCATTTCTTGTAGTAGTCATTATGTTACCCATAGTTGTCATATCACAATTATTTTGTTGAGTGCAGGCTTGAAAATGAGGACTTACCACCCCTCCATTCCAGTAAGTCACCACAATACACACGTTTTACATTGTGGTGCCATTCAATTGTAATTGCACTACGGCAGGGGTAGGCATCCACAGTACTCCAGCTGTTTTAGAACTACAAGTCCCATGAGGCATTGCAAGTGACAGCCACAGGCATGATGGAATGTGTAGTTTCACAGTTACATAGTATGTGAGGTTGAATAAAGACCCATTTCCATCAAGTTCAACCTATTGTGTGTGTGTGTATGATGATTCTGCATGTGTATGAGTCCCTGTGTGATCTTTTTTTTCTAATAGTACCTGTAGCCCTGTATGTTACGACCTCTGTTGAATCATTCAAAAAGCATTTGGGCAATTCCCTCACTCTCAGCTGATACCACTGCTTGTGGCAGCGAGTTCCAGACCCTAACTGAACCCTTGTGACTAAATCTTTTCCCTACCAATTTTAGGTGGTGGCCTCTAGTGCTTGTTATGGAGTTTACAGTAAAAAGTTTATTGCTGATGTTGCTATCCCCATGTAACATCCTGTACATGAAAACACACCACAGCCAGAATGCCAAGGTTTCCTACTTCTGCACTAAGGCAGCACATGTTTTCACACATATTGCGTGGTGCACTGTATCGGGGAGGAAAAAGATTAGCATGGCTATTTTTACCAAGACATAAAAGTGTGGACATGAGGGCAGTATTTCCAGTATAGTTCAGGTTGAATAAAGACTTGTTTCTTACAACTTTATCTTTACTCATAAGACTTGCACAACTTCAGGAAAGGAGACAGTTTAAATACTTGTGTATGTTGCTCAAGCTTTGGGAAAACTACCAACAATTTTAGAGTAGGTGTTTGGCTGCTTTCCACGTAGTTTGAGTTTTGGTGCCAGATGTAATGGGTGACTGAGCATGCAAGTCAGTTTGTGGTATTTTCTTTTGACGTTCAAATCAGAGCAAGAGTAAAAGCCTTTGACAGTGTCGAATAAATATAGAATTCTGAGGTGTAGCACTAGAGGGATGCCCAACAGGAGGAAGGAGATCCTAATTTCCCCCATAGAGATCTTTGGTTCCCTCTAGAGAGATCCCCAACATATATTTTAAGATTGAACTAGTCCACTGAAGTCCAGAGTTTGATGAAATGGTTTACAGGATAAAACATTTTCAGGAGAATGAAGGAACTTGTGTTGCGCAAAGAAGGGAGACATGATAGATCTCTGCATAAAAAAATAAAGTGTTCTGTCAGGTCAAGATGCTTAGCATGACACGCATATGCTTTTTTATTTAAGAAAAGGGGGGGGGGGGGAATCAATTTTAGAAGCTAAAATTGACTCCTGGCTGCACCCAACTTTTTTTTAAACACAGCTAAACTGAATGCATCTAAAAGCAAGGTGTCAATGTATCCATTGGAAGTCATTAGATGCATTTAGAAAACCATAAAAATGCATATATAATCGCACCCTAATGTGAATTGGGCTTAAGGGTGTAAATAAGTACAGGAGGGCCGTATTATGAATGTAGTTACATAGTTAAAGACTCAGGACCAGCCAGTTCATGTGTATACACATATATCAGTCTCTAGTGATTCCTATACCCCTGTATATTGTATTCACTGGAGAAGAACATAGATGTTTTTTAAATGTCTATATACAGTGGTACCTCTCTGTTCATGAACTTAATTTGTTCCACCATTCTGGTTGCGAACCAAATCAAACTGATCAGGCCACGATCGACTAGAGGAAGCCGTAACCATGTGTCAGAGCAGGGAAGATGGCTGCATTTGTGTTAGTCACTCAATGCGGCGTTCGCAAACAGAAGCAACATTTTGTGGAACTTTTTGTTCGTGAACAGAGGTACCACTGTATCCATACATACACACTCTCTCACTATCTGGGAAGGGAGTTCTGCACATGTGCTGCTGTAACATTAGAGAATAATGAAGCCAAAGTCAACAACATTAAGACACAAGTAGATAATGCTCAGAACAGCACAGGTAGCGAGTCAGTCAAAAGTAAGTGAATTTAAACATCATTGGGACAAGCAGATCTATATTAACCACTTGCCGTCCACCCGTTGTAAAAAGACGGACGGCACTGCAGCATTGGCGGGTTGCCGTCTCCAGACGGTATTTTTTTTTCCTGCTCGCTCACGCGCCTCCTAGCGGGCACGCACGGGCAGAAAAGACCCGACCAATGCAAACACCCGTTACCGCGTGTTTAACATATAGACGAGCGGCGGCTCCATAGCCCGCCGATCGTCTATATGTGCTCGTTTTTCGGCCCACCCCCCCACGCGGTTGCCGTTTTTTTGCCGACCCCCTCACCTTCAATCCCAGGATCCGCTGCCCCATCTGCGGCCCGGGACCGGCTCAGCAGGAGTCAGAGGAAGGGAGATTATTTGCTATTATATAGAGGGATTGTTATCCCCCTATATAATAACAATAAGTGATTATATATAAAAAATTAAAGTAACATAAAAAAAGTAAAATAAGTCACATATAAAAAAAGGGGAAAAAACTCCCCCACCCCCACGTTTACGCACCTATAAACATAAATACGCGCCCGGTGCCTCAAAAACGACAATTGTGCTACACACACACACACACACGTTACATATCGCCGCGAACGTCGCAGTGAGAACAATCACTGATAACACTAAACTGATGAGCGGTAACAGCTTTTAAAGCGTCGCCTATGGCCCATTTTGGGTATTATCGTTTGAGGTTTCGCGCACGCACTCAATTTTAAGGCTTGACATGTTTAGTGTCTTTTTACCCGACGTGACCCCGTCTTTTATATTTTACCCAAAAAATTGGGTAATAAATGTTTTATCATTTATTAGGGGAAACTGTTTTTTGTTTTAAATTTCTCCTTAATATAGTAAAAAAATAAAAACCCCAGTGGTGAATAAATACCACCAAAAGAAAGCTCTGTCCGTCCCCAAAAAAGGGTATAAAATTCATTTCAGTACAGCGCTGCATGACGGAATAAATGTCAGTTAAAGTACCGCAGCGCTGAATACTGAAAAATGGCCTAGATGGGAAGGGGGTTTAACACCGCGGATGTCAACTGGTTAATGACAAAGGGATTTAAAAAAAAAAAAAAAAAACACCATCTTTTTCTGTGCTCAGTCTTCTATGTTTAGAGTGCACCTCTGTATCCCCTACCATTCACCAGTTTAGTATAAAGGCCTAGATAGTTGCATGAGGTCAAGTTAGAACAGAAGTCGGCACCTGTGTGCGTTGGGATTTCAGGATGCACAGAAAGCAATTTGAGAATTAACCACCACAGCAAACTCTAGAAGTCTTCCCTGAGAGAATCATAGGAGCCAGTAATCTATCGAACCTAGTCAGTATTGCTCACCCACTCAGATCACCTTTGCAGTTCTCCTATTTCTGTCCTGACAGTTTCTTTATGAATAGACATGCCTGTTATTGGCTGAACTATGCAAACATGAGCATTTGAACCACGACACTAAGAGATTAGATCAGAGTAGTAGTTGGGAATTGTAAAAGGAGTCTGGAAACCAGTTTTTGTTTTATATTGTTCTTGTGAAGAAAAGATTGGTCATGCAGACTTTATGCCCGCAGTTATATTAGAATGTACACAAATCTTGAGTAAATAGATGACTGCATCATCATCTCCATGTGATGCTAGGTGGATGTGTGCCCAAAAATGGTGACCATCTTGTCTGGTAAGAGCATGGGCATGATAAATTCCCAAAGGACTACAGCCAAGAAAAAAAAAAAAAGTCCGACAGGTAAAGTGTGATTCTCAAATCCTATAGTAAGGAGATATACTATACTGTACCATTGCCGGGCATTGAAAAAACATGCATTGTGTGTATCCTCCTGGTTATCGTAATCACCCTTTTGCACAGTACCTGGGCTAATCCCCTTTCTCGTCTTACAAACCCATCTGTAATTTCTAGGGAAGCCCCTTTCTTCACAGGGGTACTTGTGAGAAATAATTTTACATTTTCTTCACAGTTCATTAGCATGTGGAAACTAAGAGCTGTCTATTCTTTCCAGATTTCCAAGCCAACGCCAGAAGCCCCTGCAGATGTGGACAATGCAGCAGATCTATTATCACAGCTATAGACTATATTCAATAAAAACAGTTACAATTTAGCGTCTGTACATGTTTATTAATAAAAAGTTAGAAGGATCCAAAAAAAAGTGAAAAATTACAGCAACAAGTAGTTACAAAGCAAGTAAAACAGGAGAAAAAAAAAACCCAGAAGATTAACAAATACAGGCAATATACAAAGCCAACTTCATGACGGCATGGAAAAAGTGCTATCCACTACAAGGCACTTAAATTGCCCAACCAGGAATGGAAGGTTTGCTTATTACTTGGCAGTGGTTATTTACATAAAATTATAAAGCTCTAAACATTTAACAAAAGTGGACCAAGTCCAATGTTTTGGCACCAAATAGCTGCATGAAATACTTTAGTCTTCCATTTACTAGGTCTAGGTTTTTAGTTGGGGATTTATTAGATATATGCTAATTGGCAGCGTTCACCATGTTTTGACTGATTGATACCCAATAAAAAGGAAAAATACTGACAAGCACAATAAGAAAGTAATCAGACTGAAAACAAAAACTGAAAAGGGGAGTGGTGCTTTCCACTGGGGAACACTTTCTTACTATACTCCTGGGACACTTAGGAAAACTGACAACTGCAAGTAAAGTGGCTACTTTTGATGAGAGCTCAAATTTGTACATACAAAATCTAGCATGTACATACCGGCAATTCCCAATCCCTTATCAGATCATTAAACAAAAAGTTGCAAGACAGCCTAGATGTTTAGTTGTCCCCATTATATAAGGGGAGGTGCCCTGTAGGTTGCAAAAAATAGCTGGGAAAGTTGATCGTGTTTAAAGATATTAGTTTAGGGCACTTGGCCTGAAAAGAAGAAAAGAAACTTTGACGCCACCACTTCTAAGGCCTGGTAAGCTGCTGGATATGAAAGGTTTGATCTTGGGGTTAGATATTCCTCAGGCCATTAGTCTAAAAGTCACCATTAAATGCACAAATCGTATGCTCACAATGAGGAGATATAGAAAATGCATCATCTCTTATGGCGGACAACTCCCATTTTATTTAACATGTATTTAGCACCCTTGTCAAGGATATATCAGTTTGGCCCTTCAGTTCATCCGTTATACCAATACACACAGAAGCACTTAAAAGGGACTTTGTAGGAGGAATCATGGCTCTTGTATTGCTTAAGGGCCCATTCATACCAGCTCCATTGGAATATGCTTTTCAACGGATGCTAATGGAAGGGCACTGAAAAATGAAGGATGGAATGGGGCTAGTTCACACTGTTCCATTCCGTTTAAAAAAAAAAAAAATAGAACATTTACTACTGTTAAACACAACAGCTCTGGTGGGAACTAGCCCCATTCATTTTTCGGTGCCCTTCCATTAGCATCCATTGAAAACGGATTGCAATGAAAGAAGAAACTCAGAAGGTACAACAGACCCTTCCATTAACTTTAGATTTCCTTCCAATTTTGGTGTGAATGCACCTGAACTCTTAAGAATGCTAGCTTCCTGGCTGTCATGTTGATACTTTTGACTTCAATGCACTCCAAGTTGCTGACCAGGAAGATGTATAAAAGATGAGGAGGAATGCTCACACTAAAGAGTCCCTTTTTTTAGGTTTGTGATCTAAAAGTACTAAGTTAGACACAGCATGGCAATGTTCATTTTCTTCCTGGTCTTACGGAGCCTTTTACCCAAGAATTAGGCTTCTTCAGGCATCTGGAAAATACTTTGAAAGCCTAACTCCACCCACAAGTTTATTTTTTTTACATTTTGAATCATATGGTGAATGGATAGAAGTGCTGTCCGTTCTTGAAGGGTAATCTACTTTCCCAGGTGAATTTGGGAAAATGGAATTTACCCCGTGCTGCTATACTTACCTTTGGGCAAATGCTCCTTTCCCTTCACTGCTGCCAGTGACTGTCTGCATGCCATACTGCGCAGCCCTGCACTGCTTTTCGAATTCCACTCGCAAATGGCGAGCACTCGTTAGACAGTGCTCCCAGAAACGCTTCTCCCTGGTCAGTGCGGTCAAGTGACCACGCTGACCGAGTGCTCTCCATTTGCGAGAAAAATTCAAAATACAGAGCGCAGGGCTGTGCTACATGGCAATAAGGGGTACAGACAGCAAGTATAGCAGGGAAGGGTAATTTAATATTCCAGGGAAAATGGAATTACCTTTTAAGGATACTTCTTGCATTCTGTAATGTCACCTGGACAGAAGTGAATGCTCCCCAGTATGGTCACCAACATCAATTTAACCTGATAGGTGTCCACTTCTCTGCAAGCAAAGTAAAAAAAAAAAAAAATGATATATCATTATTTTTATTGTTGTTTGTCCCCGATTGCAGGGATTTGGCCTTACTTGTGGTTTTGAATAAGTAAAATAAAAAGGTGATTTCTCCTGTACTGCAAAACGGCAACAGCGTTTCTAACCCTTCCCCGCCAGTCTCGATTTATAAATGGAAGGAAAGTTCGTGTTGCTCCTAGAAACTTTTTCTTCATGTCCTTTGTCATATTACATCAAATAAAGGAAAGGAGAGAGCACCTGACTGATTGCTGTGGGCAACTAGAACTGTCAAAATCAGACTGTTTTATGCGCAGGGCTCTTCCTGAGGTCTTCAAATATTCACAAGCCCATCGATTTACTAGCCCCTATAGAAGTCACTGCACCACTGGGTACCTGGTAGGATAAACAATGGCTCACAAAATGGCTGGTTCATGTTGCTTGAGCAAACAAGGAGCCATTTTAGTTCAGATTGCTAGCCAATTCTTTACCAAATTGTGCATAAGGTAGACCTTCAAAAAATTTGGCTCATAGCTATCCGCCATTATTTGCTGAATAAAGTAAAGTATTTGATCTAAAAACAGTTATAAAAAAAAAAAATTTGAAGCGGAATTAGATCTAATAATTCAGAATCTGAACATCAAAGAGGTCACAAACTCCTTCGCTGTCATCCAAGTTGAAATTGTAGTCATCTCCTGGAGTGGGAGAAAGCCGCAGCAAAGGGAACACTGAGATAAAAAGATAAACACAGAATATTAGATTCATGTGCAGCAGAGTCCAGCAGATTGTTACAGAATAGCACAAAGCGGGTATTTTATGACATTACTTGTTTTCTGCAACATGAATGGGTGGATTTGTAACCTCTTCCGCCCTGCGTACAGCATAGGAAATTCCACATGATACATACACCACATTCACAAAAATGATAATAGTCAACACCTACCATCGGAGGACATTAGCTCATCAATTAAGTCGCCACTTATCTGACCTAAAAAAAAAAAAAAAAAAAAAAAAAAAAGAATTATGGTGGATTTGTAACCTCTTCCGCCCTGCGTACAGCATAGGAAATTCCACATGATACATACACCACATTCACAAAAATGATAATAGTCAACACCTACCATCGGAGGACATTAGCTCATCAATTAAGTCGCCACTTATCTGACCTAAAAAAAAAAAAAAAAAAAAAAAAAAAATGGATTAGTACTAAAAACTGTACAAGAAAACATATCGGGTAGGTGAAAGATCAGTACACAGAAGAGCTGTGCATGGCTTCTACATGTTCCCCTAAAAAAGGCATGTTGCTATAATCTCCCACAAAACCGCTATGGTAATGGGAGATTAGGAGGCCAGATAATGGAACCTGTTAGGTGTGGAACACAGTAAATGGGTAAATGAGGTTGGCTCAAAAGAAACTTCATTCTACAGGGCTCCTCAAAGTTCATCCAAAACAAGAATAAAAGTGGTTTGTATGTCAGTTACGCAGTTTTCCCATACTTTACCAATTCTGACCATCACCAGATCCTATCTGAGGCAACTAGAGAATGGAGAGGTCATTTAAGGAAATAGTGAATCACAGCTTTGCTGCAAGCAGCCTTTAGAAGTATAAAATGTATCCAGCATATATGAGGAAAGTTTTAACTACCATGACTGTCCAATTTCCACAATATAAAATTGTATTGCTGATCAGCAATTGTTCCAATGTTCACCTCCCAATCCATTTTTAAAACCCTAGCCAGTTTATCCTTTTGTGGAGATTTTCCTTTATTTCCTGTCCTGGATACAAACACAGAAATCCTCTCCAAAGTAGATGAAATTCCCCTCTGTTGGCCAGACAAGATTTTCCCCACCTCCTGTAATATTTGTGATTTTCCATCATATTTTGTCATAGTAACAATGATCATCAGGACCCACAGGGTAAATCTACCTAGTGGGGACACCAATAAAAACTTAACCGTTCTAACCTTCCCTACCCTATTCCCCCCCAAAAAATGTATATGCAACATTCATTTTACAAATAGTCTTTGTTCCAATGTAATGAGAATGTGTTACATACATATACATGCAATTGTACGGATTTCTCTGTTGAATATAAGCAGCACTAAATGCAACATATTCCAAGACCATTCCACCCCCAAGAACATTCTACTCTGAACATTTAATCCAAAGAAAAAAGCCTAAATACATTTAATCAGAAAACTATGTGAAGAACGTTTGATTTTGATCCACGCGCACAACAGCTACAGCTTTATACAATGCAGAAAGCATTCCTCAGGGCCCATTCACATTATGTGTTAACGTGTTGCTTTAAAGTGGCATTAAACCACCTTTTTTTAAAGTTTGTATGCAAAGAAGGCACACATGATCATGATATGGTATGCAGATCCGTTGTTCATTGTTGTATCAAATCCTCCTCCTCTAGTGGGTCTGGAATTGCTCCCCCCCACCCAAGCGGTTACTGTGGAGACACCCATGTGTGCATTCATACACGTACTCAGCCTTTAGGCAGGCCGCAGCCCTCTTCTCAACCCCTCCCCCAAACAGATTAATTGATGGCAGAAGGAGCCTATAGTTAATCTGCGCTCATTATCTTTCCCCCGAAAAAAGGAAGTTCAGAGAATCGCTTCAGGGACCAGCGGCAGTGACACGGGTAAGTGTGGAGGGATGTGGGACACAAGGTACTGGGTATCGTTTACCTTAATGCAAAGAATGTGTGCCGCCCCAACAGGGGCATAGAATATGAGATGCATAGCCTCAGTTAATATTAGCATTGTTATATAGGTTAGAATTTATATATAGTGTGATTTGCCTAACTATTTTCTCATAGCTAAATTCATGTGTTATCCTATGCTGCCATCTAGTGGCCTTTTGTTGTAACAAACATGTTTTCTGTAATTATTCCTCATGTGACGATGTATTTTTCCCCAAGTGTATGTAGCCCCACCCTTCTTCCTGTGTGCAGTACTTCCTGTGTCATGGCACAGCTAGCAGCCACATGTATCAGGACACACATATAATCTGCCCAGTACGGAGGAAAGGCATCATTTTCTGACCGCACAATACTATCACCGTTCAACTGCTGTTCCTATCATCTGCTGTAAAGAATAAACACCTCTTTTGAATGAATCGGTATTGACGAGTTCAGCTATCTGACGAGGATTGTCCGCAGTGAGTATATCTGCTTATACAGGCCAGGCATAGAGGTCTCAGCAAGGGATATATTTCGCTATCACAACGATCGGAGTCAGAATAGAATGCATTAGGTAAATAGCGACCAGCTTTTAATACTACTTTAAGGCAGGTAATTAAAAACAATGGGCTGCCAAAATGTGGAAATGCTTACGAAAATTAACGTAGTTTACCATAGTGCATTGTGGCAAGCTGCACTGCATGTGCAATGCCTAATGCATTTCGGTGCCATTTAAAAAGACATGGCACCACAACAGCAATGCATGTAATGTGCATCTTACAACACAGATTTAAATAAGCCCTAAAACTAATGAGCGATTGCTGGTAAACTCACAAAACGAATATACATGCAGTTTCGTTGGACATAGCCACGCAAATGTTTTATACAGCAACACTAGAAGTGGATACACAGTCCGATACATTGTCCATAGCTGGGTCAGCAGTGGAATAGTCTGAAAGCCCAGAGAGGTGGTATAAATATTCAATAACATTCTTACATTACATTTAGTGGATGGTTTGATAGAAACTGTGTAAAGCTGTGAAATAAAAAATCGTACCTTCTTGGTCATCCATTTTTGTTATGTCAAAAGAATTTGGTTTGAGGATATTGCTGACATCCAGGGGAAGCAGCGGTGGTTGGTAATCACTGGAGCTGGCAGTAGTCTGGGTTAAATCTGACGTTAGGGATGGATACAATAATGAATCTGGCAGTTCTGAAAAGTTACTTGCAGAAGTAGTGCTCTCCTGTGTATTAACACCTACAAAGAGGATAAAATTACAATGAACATTTGAAACATCATTCCTAAAAAAGGCCAGCACACAAAAACCTATCGGGGCCCTTAAACCATCCCCGCAGTAAAAGAAGGTTACACTGTTCGGGCCGCCCCCCCAATGCTGGCAGGAGGGCACAGGAAGCAGTGGCCTGGTGTAGTAGCCAGTCTGCTATTGCAAATTGAAGAAAAAAAAAAAAAAAAGTGGGAAAAAGTCATTTTCAGTTTCGGCCTGACCAATTCTGCTGCGGGAGGCGCTTTGCAGTGCCATTCATTTCAATGGCACCCCAAATGCGCCTCCCACTCACAGTGCAAGTACTGCGATGCTGTGCATGCAGTTTTATTACAAAGTAAACTGTAACACTCCATTTGTGCATTTCATTTTAAATTAAGGATGTTCTTTATTAAATTTTTTATAATCGATTAAATTGAAGTAAAAAAAAAAAAAAAAGCCAACTATTCGATTATGACAATAATCATTAGTTACAGCCCTATGCAGTTGCCTTACTCCCATCTTCCGCCTGTGGCGCCCAGGAGAGGGTGACATCACACCAGCAAGATCCTGGGGAATACAGAGCAGCCGAAATCTTAAGATGCTCTTGCAGTGGACTGGAGAATCTTCGTGAGATCCCGTCTGTTCTCCATTCCCCAGAATCTTTCCAGGACAGCAAGGAGAAAAATTGGGGTAAGGCAAGTAGAACTTTAAACCTGAAAAAACTACTAACATTAAGCGATTTTCAAAAGGGGCCAGGATATTAACCCTTTTGCTGCCAGCGTATGCCATACATTGCTGGCAGTGGACCCCTTTAAACAGACCCAGCAGGACTCTGTTTACATGTGTAAAGCTGACTGCGGGCTTCACACTGGAAACGATCACTGTGGCTGAGCTGCCCCCAGATTGCTTCCAGGGGCCGGTGTAGTGCACATCTCACCCAACACCTTGCTTCCTGGGCTCCGCTGCCCTTCTGCTTGGGCACATCGCCAATGCCCAAGAGGACCAGGAAGAGGAAAAGATTGTAAGTAAAATGAAAATATGTATGTTTAGCTAATGAACGCAAGATGATTTCATGCCAGCATGCAGAGCTCTATACTGATGTGAATGTTAAAGTAAAGGTCCACAGTCTGAATCCCATTAATGACTTCAAGGACACACGATACAGAACGCCAATAGATTTTCTATGCCTACTCCCAATCTATACAACAGCCATGTGTGTATTTTCATAGATACACTTTAGGTAAAAATGTAAGAGAAGTTAAATATAAAATTGTTTACATTGTACCAATACGATCTGCTGTAATTTACACACAAGCACAACGTAGGGAAATACAAACTTATCAGCCAGTTTTATAGGAAGGCCCAACATGTACAGCAAATTGAATGCCTAATTGTCAGCCAATATGGCAAAATGTCAGGAGCCTAGGAGGACAACAGGCATGCTATTAAAGATGAACTCTAGGAAAAAAACCCCAAAAACCGGTCATTTAATTATGTCCATGAAGGTTCTCATTCATCCAGTTCACGGTGTATCAAGTTGCCTTGACTTATTTTTTTACAGATTTAAATATGTTCCTCAATAGCCACAAAGGATCAACCTTGTGTTTACCAAAATGTTTTTTAAAGCCCGGTTATGTCCTTGTAAAAGTAGCAGTGACATCACTATGCTGTATATAGCCTGTGCAGGGAGCAGAGCTGTGGGAGAGGCCCAGCAGACCCACCTACTACAGGCTGCGTGTAGAAAACTGAAGGGGGCGGAGACAAGACCACAAGGAGAGAGCACAGCAGTGACTGGTCAATATTACAGGAAGCTCCTGCATAGAGGTAAAGTTTCACACTGGATTACTGTGCAGATCCGGAATACACAAAGCTCACCAACATGTATGCAAGACTACACATGAATATGCTATTGGTATAATATACATATCCCACAGTTCAGAGACGATTCTATACCAAAATATCGTCCTGTACGTACAAATACAATTACTTACTTGTGCTAGACTGTGATAAATTGTTATTCTGCATTTCTTCTGTCTGGGGATCTTGGGTGGGCGGTTTCCTGGAACTGCTGGACGTGTCAGACTGTGTGTGGGGCTGCGTGACGTCGTCAGGCGGGGGCACCGGGAAAGCAACAGGCTTTGATGTGCTAGATTCCTTATTGATCAGAAGCACATTAATTGGCCCAGAACTGCTCTTCAAACTGATCTGGTACTTTTTTTGCCCATTTTGGCCCTGCAAAAAAAAAATAAAAAAAAATGCATTAGTATTCTGCTGATGGTCACGAGAAAACAAAAAACATTTTCTCCATTTCTGTAACAAAGCACAACAAGTATATATTATGTTCAGATTGTTCCATTTTAAAATCCCCATGTCAGGAAAAAAAAATAAAAACCCACGATGCTTTGTGTTCCACTGCTGGGTATTAATTTACATTCAATCTTCTGTTCAACTCAGACAGCGAGTCTGGATATTTCGCCATTGTCTGTTGATTAAATATACTGATGTAGCTCAACTGAAAGCAGTGAAAGTACATCATCCATCTCACTCACAAAACACATTACAAGCAATGTTACAGGGCAAGGCCGCAGATGAAAAGCTCCGACAAGGAAGCGAGATCAGACCACTTCCCTCTTCCAGTGATCGTTGCCTGCAAACTTTAAAGGACCCATACGTCTTTCATCTCAGCATAGGTTTTTAACACATTGAAAAACAAACTACAACAGGGAAGACAAGGAGCCATCAGCCACCAGGTGGTAGTGTTCTGATAGCATAAAAAAGGTGGAAGAAATGGACCTAAGGGATGCAAAAAGCCATAGCTCCCCCCGGCCCCTTTTGGATAGAGCAGGGGAAGTTAAAAGAACTCCAGGAATTTTTTTTAATTAACCCTTGCAGTGAGGCTACCCTTGCACTTAAGAGTCAAGTGCTCGTTTGTGTCTAGATGCTAAAATAACAGTTATACTCACTCGAAGCTCCGAGCCGGCCAGTTGTCACAGCGCTCCCTCCAGCCTGTGATATACTGAGAGCGCTGCAGCCAGGATGGATCATGACAATACTGTGGAGATCCACTCAGCTGTGAGTGACACCTGGCTCCGCCTATCTAGAGGCAGAGCCAACTGTGCCCGCCCCCTCTCCCATCCATTCCTAGTCAGCGCTGGAGGATCTGAGCAGGAAGCAGAGACTGACAGTCACCGCAAGGAGATGACCGGAGAGTGAGTGAGCAACGTTATGTGTTCGCTCACTTCCCGACCTATAGAGCCGACGTGTGACAGTTTCATTGTCACACGTCGGCTTGAACTATGAGGTTGAGTGAAAATCACTCACCTCATAGTTCCCCCTTTAATGTTAGTCTATGGCGATTCGGATGTAAACAGACCTGCGTCTGTCTAGGTCTGAAAAACAAAAATGGAACAGAGTTTGTTTTGGGGACCAGAACAGGATGGATCTGAAGTAATTGGAAGTAAACAGACACAATATTTAATGTACTGTACACCTATGGAAAAGCAGCTATGGTAGTTCAGGGCATAAAGTGTGCTAGAACTACAGTTCACCTCCCCGGTCAACAAATGATGCTTCTGCATTTTACTGCATCTATGGAGGAACAGCGTTGTCACCCTAGAACAGAAAGCGTGTCAGGACTACAGAGCTCGGTAATTCAGAGGTAACCTGGGCATGGTTGATCATACTGCTTGAGAGAACATTGCAGAATGCAGACAGCATTGGATTTCTGACACGATCAGAATGCATTTCTTTGCACTTATTGAACATATATAACAAAAGTGCTTTCAGTAAAATATTCGACTAAAAAGACAAAAAAAAAAAAAACACGACATTCATTGTTCAGGTTTACATACACTTTAAAACAAGTAACCTCTTACCATTTCTGGAATGGGAACTTCTAGCTGCGTACCAGAAGGAGCCTGAACTGCCAACAGCGTGTCATCTAGGCAACAAACATAAAAACACAGAAAACATGTTCAATGCATTCTAAACAAGTGTAGCTAACTTTATTAAATATGGATAGTACTGAAGAGCTTGGCTGAAAACCCTGCAGGCCCAAAGTAAATGATTAAAATCTATCTCCGGGCAACAAGTGAAAACTGCTAATGCAATGCTACAAGGAAAATGCAGCCCATTCAATTTACTTTCAGCAAAGTTTTGTCATTTAGAACAACCAGAGAGAAAAGGCCTGGGGCTGGCCCGCTCCACCACTGCTGGAAAATAGGATTTTTGTACTAAATGTAAAATCCTTCTCTCGGCATTCATTGAAGGACACAGCGGAGATCTTCATCTCTCACTAATGGAGTTATTCCACCTACAGGAATGGACGCTAGGCACAAAAAAAAGGCAAAGCACAGCCCAGAAGAAGCAGCTTTTTTTTTGCCTAGCGTCTAGGAGTATGGACCTAGTACCCTATGTGGAAAAGGGAACCATGCTTTAACATTATAGTGCAAGTTGCACAACATTTACCCCGCCCCCCC